GGGTGCCTCAGTTTCCCCGGCCTGGCCTGGCCCGGCCTGGCTGCGGGGCGGCGTGGGGGATGTCTCCCGGTGTCGGTCTCACGCCGCAGGCTGCCCGGGCGGTGTGTGCTCGGCGCGTGCAGCGCGGGTGAGGGGGGCGGTGTGGGCCGGGCCGGCTGCACCCAAGGGTTGATGCGCTTCACGCGGGGCAGGGACCTGACCGGTCTCAAATAAGCCTGAGACCCCCTGCCCACTTCCAAGCAGGGAAGCAACACTGATGTGGAGGGTTTCTGTTCCCCCCCACCCCGAACCCCAAAACACCTGCAGACTGTGATCTCTGCAAGCAGCAGACCTTTGGGCAGGGTGGGTGTCCTGGCTGCGCTCCAGAGCATGCCTGGGAGGAGCGGTGTGGGTTGGGATGCTGGCGTGCTGACCGACATGAGGCACAGAGTGCTTTATGTCCACACCTAACACTGACCCGCTTCAGGGAGGACTGGCTCAAAATCATACTTGTTTTTCCCAGGGTGCTTGTAAAACGTTCCAGTCTAAAGTTGCACGTGCATCTAGGATCTTGGGGTTCAAAGTGTAACATTTATTGCGTCTGTCCACCTTGGGGTGTCGTGTGTGTGTCTGTGCACACCCTGCGAGGTGTACCGAGGAGAGGGGTGAGAACAGCTAGCTAGCCACGGCTTCTGCGCCTCTGAAGTAGATGGCACGGAGATGCGAAGGCAAGCGAGGCTGTCTGAGAGAGATGTAGGGACTTCTTAAGGCGCGTATGCGTGGTTTGATCCCCATCCGCATCGGGCTGCAAACCAACATGAGGAGCTGTGCTTTGTGTAAGGTCAGCGAGCAAGTAGGGAGAGGTGTCAGAAATATCGTCCTGTCTGGAATCAGAAATGCTCTTCTATTATGTTGTGGCTCTAGCCAACCAAACAGTGTTAGAAATGATTTTGAAAATGAAACTTTTAACTCTGCTCATGCATTTGGGACCTTTAAAATGTGGCACAACCCTTGCCGAGTTCATTCACTGCCAGTTCTGCATTTTGATCTCGTTACAGTTCCAACAGACAAAGCTTTGCCAATCCTGCACTTGGTATTAATCCATGTATGGCTTCTTATTTTCTGGAAAAGCACTTGTGCTGAAACAAACTTTCCAAAAATGTGACCATGTGTGCACAGAAAGTAAGAAAGGTGGCTAATTTGCCCCTTCCTTGCCTGCTGGTCTGCGACGTATTTGTAGTCCCGAGTTCTTGAGCCTCTTCTCACTTAGGCAGTGGTGTGCTTGCTGTTATCGTTAAGAGACAGAGGAAGACATGGTGTTAAAATTGAAATCATGTGCACGTGTGCAGGAATAAGTCTCCCATAAAAATGTCGTTACCTTGCCAAACTGTGTTTAGTTCACTCCGGTTCAGAGTGGTACATAAAACTCCGAAGTTGCTTTTCTAAATACAGTTCTTTTTTTGGTTTTTTTTTTTTCTAGCCCAAAGTGGTCCAAATCCTGAATGGGAGAAAAAAGTAACTGAATACTTCAGAGAGAAACTAAAAGAAAATAATGCTACTAACTGGGTGAGATTGTTTAGGAGTCTTTCCTTAAATTTCCTTCCTTTTGCATCAGTGATGATGATTTATTGTTTGCCAGGTTTTTCACTTTTAGAACTTGCTGATACCAGGCTGAAGAAGACACTGGAGATTTAAATGCCAAACTTTGGCTTACCTGCAAAGTCACTGAAATGTGAAAAATCTGTCCAAAAATCAAAAGTGTAAGATCCTGATCCAAAGTCTTGAAACTAATGCCGTTGACTTCAGTGTACTTTGTACTATGATCCACTAGGTGGCAGTAGCTGACAAATGCAATCATCTGCAATGTAGTCATTAAGGTATAAAAATCTGCCCTGGCTACTCTAAAATTAGAGATAAATAAGTGTATACCAGAAGTTTCTGGCTAAGCACTTTCAAACTGATCAGGTTATATGATCTGTTGCAGCTTTAAATGATTGGAGAAATAGTTGTTAAATTTCATATTTTAGTTTGGTTGAGAGAGATCATTTATTTTAATCTTCTACAAACTGTACCATATTATGTCAGTTTAAGCCCCTATTCTGTATCCAAAGATTAGGCAGCTAACATGTATCTGATCTTCAAATACAAGAAAAAGTTAGCTTGATTCCAAAATTGTTAGTCTACTCTGAAGGATGACTATAAAAATGATATTATGGAATTCTGGATTTCTTGGCCCTCAAGTTGAATATGTTCAGTTTATCAGTAAAAAGAAAACCACCACAACAAACACAAGTATTTTCCCAATTTCAAAACACATTGAGAACCAAGAATCTTGTGCTTCAAGGAAAAAAACATTTTGTAACTAAAACTTTATCACCAATTGCATTTTTAACTGACTGAACTGCTAGGCATTACTACTACCTGGGATGGAATAAAATCTTTCTTTTCCTCTCTTATACAGCTGTGTGGGACCCCTGAGTTAAACTTTAAGTTTAGCGAATGCTATGGTGTGGATGTTCAGTCAGTGGTTACCATTTTTATGTGATTGTAATTCTAGTAACTATATTTCACATTGAATGTATTTTTCCCTAATATGACAATGCAGTTAATAACTGATTCAGAAAATCAAATAGACCTTGAATGAAAGGTGCACAGTACTGTTATTTCAGTAATTTGGAGATTGGTTGCCTGGACAAGCCGTGCGCTTATCTTTTCCCATGGTCATCTCCTGTACAGATAAGCTTCCGTTACCTCGAAGCATGCCCTACATGTTTCTTTTGAAAGCGTGAATGCTTTGAGTACCAGAAAAGATGTTTGCTTGTTTTGCTGTGAGATGGCAGTGCTTCTTTCATGTTGCTTATTACAGTATTCCTAGTTGTGTTTTTCCTTGTCAAAAAGTAAGGATTTGGAAAAATGTCTTCTGTGCATCTGACAGTGTGTGAAACTTTACATTTGTGCTGACCAGAAGGAATCCGGACAAATTTGGTGAGATGAAGAATGTGACACTTAGCAGTTTATTTTTTTGGGGTCAGTCTTAAAATGCACAAGAAAGAAGAGATTTTATATTGAATGGGTAATAGCAGATAGAGGGTGCAAGAGTAAACTGGCGTGATCCTGATTCAGTAGGCTATCATTTGAAAATAAAATTTAGTCGAAGAGATGTTAACTTGATTTTGTTTTAAAACCAGTTAATTTAAATAAATTGATAAAGCATATTTCATTAACATTCATTGAAAGGATTTGTAAAGGCTTGTTTAATTCCCCCATTAAAATGGGCAGGGAGGAGGACAGTGACCAATAACAGCACTGCCGAAAATTGGTCCAGTCCCTGTCTGAACTTACCTTCCACGCTCTTCAGTTACACTTCTAGTTTTACTGCACTTCTGGATGATCCCCTTTTTCAAAGGGTAGGAAACAGCAACATAAAAGTGCACCTGACATTCCAGTTAGTGAACTTGTATAAGCAAACTGCTTCAAATAAACCAAAACAAAATAGGGAAATTATTTTGTCTGTCTCTTTATATTAATCTTATCTGTCACTTATAGCAGTGTCTACAAAAGTTTCAGAAACCAATATGACTCCTTAAACAGTCTTGGGTAAGACAATAGATGAGGTAAAATGACCAAGAAACCTTAAAGTTAATAGCTGACTTATTGATCATCCTTGTCCATTCCTTACTGCTCTTGCATTAATTGAGTGGTTGAGACAAGTAAGTGAATATCAAGAAGTGCCATAATGAATTGACATATGTAGAAGTATTTTTGCAGTATCTATCTTTACCCATGATTTTTATCTTGAACAACTGGTATAAAAATGTGAGGCTTTTTAAAATATTAATTTGAAGCTTGTTCATGCTTCTTAAAGGTTCCATCGTTGAATGATGTCCCTTTGCATTACCTGAAGCCAAACAGTTTAGTCAAATTCCGCTGCATGGTTCAAGATATGTTTGACCCAGAATTTTACATGGGAGTTTATGAAACAGTTGACACAAATACCAGGACACGTGTAAGTAGAACACAGATTCATTACTAAGACATAAGTTTACTATTTCCCTAATTCTAGTCTTTGTACTTCTCTGCTTACTTAGTTGAACCTTTTACTTACCCAAAAGTTCACAATATTAATTCAGTTTATATGTGTTAGTTCACATTGTTGACGTGCCATTTTGTTCTTTTTTTGGTTGTGATCTGTTACAAGTAGATACAATTGTGGAACTGTTATTGCATGTAAGGTCCGTGGGACTTAAAAGAACATTCTCTCTCCCTTTAAATTCTTGAAACAGGACAAGTTTATACAGCTGGATTTTTTGGAAAGACTTCAGACTGCATTTTTTCTGTTCGCACTAGTCATTTATGTAATTCAGGATGCTGGAAGGAACATAACTATGGTTTTTCTGTTTTACAGGTTTTGCATTTTGGTAAATATAGAGATGTAGCAGAATGTGGGGTAAGTGATACTTGTACAAATGCTAGAGTTTAACTGTTTAAATTGAAACATTTAATTTGAGATTATCATTTTCTTCTCCACTTAGTAACCTGCAATAAAACATGCAATGAGCCATCAAATTAATTAAGTGAACTCAGTTGCCTTCCCTTTACTTATGTGTCGCATGTCATTTGTGGTGTTAAGTATTTTGGGCAGGATGGAAGTTGGAAGGGAGATGTAGATCAAAAAGGGATGCACTGATAAAGATTTTCTTTGGCAGATACTGATGACTGATTATTAACCAGCCATATCAGCTGATACCAATCCAAAAGCCAATTTACAAGATTGCAGCCCAGCAGCTTGGAGAGCAGCGTCCTGCCAATAAGTCTGAGGGGTGGTGCAAAGGGGGTAGCGGGCAGATCGAGGCCCCCCACTGTGAGGGAGGGAGTGGGTAGGGGCAGGCACTGCCCAGCCAGGGCAGTGAATGGGACCCCAGGGCAGGGAGTGGGATGGAGCCACAGTGGAGTGAGGAGGGGGGGTGGCTCCCCACCACTACATGCACCCCCAAGGGAATGTGCCTGCTCAGATTTGTGCGCGGAGCGAGGGTAGGCTGCTCGCTGCGGGCTTGGGGCCAGGGGCTGCGCCAGCCTTTTCCCGAAAGGGGGACCGGACCGGCGAGGGTTCAGCTGTGTGGGGTGGGTGTCGGCAGCGGCACTGGAAGGGGTGGATATGGGAAATTTTGGGGTGGCTATTGTTCCCTAAGCTCCCCACGGCACTGCCCTTCTTAGTGCCACCATCCACCCCGTGCAGCTAAGTCCTCCCTGAGCGCAGCTCCAGCCCAGCCCTGCTGCCGGGAAGAGGCTGATGCAACCCTTGACCCTGAGCCTGCAGCAGGCAGCCCGCCCTTGCCCCATGCACAAGTTGGGGGGGGGGAGGGGCGGAGGGAGGCACATGCCTCCCCTGGAGGTGCGCACAGCAGTGGGGAGCCACCCCACTCCTCTGCGCCCACTGGACAAGCCGCCCACAGCTCCATCCCACTCCCAGCCCCATGGTCCCATTCACCACCCTGGCTGGGCAGCGCCTATCCCATTCCTTCTCATTGTGGGGGCCTTGATCTGTCCCCCACCCCACACATACACCCCTTTCCTCCCACACAAACTTACTGGTCAGACACTGCTCTCCAAGCTGCAGGGCTGCATTTGTGGCCGCGTGCATGCTGTGGCTGCACACAGCATTTATCAGTAATGTTAAAGGCCAAAAAAACCCGATTGCTGATAATGTTAATTTTCCTGTTATTGGTGCCAGTCCAATATGCAATCGATATATCAGTGCACTTCTAAGATCAAGGGGCTCAAGAGTTATGCTAACTCTTTGTCCTTGCAAACCAGTTCTTTTACATCCATTTCCTGTCTTTAAATTATATAAGTGTAACTTTAACTATTTTGGAATCCTTCACCTCGACTCATAGAAATACTGCTTTGGGGATTTAGATGAGTTCCAGGTTTGGGGAGCAGAGAATTTCTCCTGAAGAAGTCGCAAGATATGTCTATTTCTACTTTAAATTAGTCTCACTTGCTGATGCTATTATATGTGATCAGCCTTTAATATTTCAGCCAGTGATTCTTTACCAAGAAACTGGGCCACTGGCAAAATACATCCTGAAAGAATATCCTGTGAGAACTACTGGAGATTAAACATGGAGTTACATTATGAGACTTTAAATCAGTCTGCGTGCTCTAAAGCACTGAAATAGTTTGAGACTTCAGATGCCAAATTGTAACACATGACTAAGAACATGCATCTTATTTTTTCTGTCTATAGAATTGACTTAAGACTATGACCTTATTTTTGTTTTTTTAACATTTCTATCGTTATTATTGGTATCCTAGCCTCATCAGGAAATAGATTTAAATTCTTCACAAACAGTCACTTCAGAGAGACAGACCTTCTACTGCGTTCCAGTGCCTGGAGAGTCAGCATGGGTGAAAGAAATATCTTTTGGCAAGCTTGTGATATATAGTATACAATTTTTTTATTAGTAAACAGTATGTTTAAAATGTCTTTGATTTTGAGGTGAAAGGAAAATTTTGATGATAATGGTTAACTGTCTTAAAATGAAAAGCTTTGGAGTACTATATGCCAGATGAATGAAGATATGGATTTGGCAGCCTTCTTTGCTATTTAGGGAAATATTTGGGGCTAGATTTTCAAATGGATGGGCACAAAGTGCTTGACCATTGTTGTTGGTCTGTTTGAAAATGTTTAAAAAATACCATATGACATGCCTATCAGTTGATATTCCCCTTGTTGGTTGATCCATAAATTTCAGTTGTCGTGTAGCTACTAACTTTGCTATGTTGAAATACCTCAGAGTGAGCAAGGAATACTTAAAGTCAGTAGTTATACAATAGTTGTTAGACTGGTTTATGTTCCACTTAGGTTTCTCTGAATAAATTGGGACTACAGTATCTAATGGGGGCATCTAATAATATTATAAAGCACCTATAGAGATATACGGTCATGCTGTGGTAACATGGCAAGTTAACCTTCCTTGAAATCTGAGTTCTCCAAGGAGCATATTTTTAAGAAGTTGAGGTATGGTTTCTCATTTCCTAAACCAGTCCAGCAAATGTGTTAGAAAATAAATCAACCTCAGTTTTTCTTTCTTGCAAGCAGATTCATAGATTCATAGATGTTAGGGTCGGAAGGGACCTCAATAGATCATTGAGTCTGACCCCCTGCATAGGCAGGAAAGAGGGCTGGGTCTAGATGACCCCAGCTAGATGCATATCCAACCTCCTCTTGAAGACTCCCAGGGTAGGGGAGAGCACCACCTCCCTTGGGAGCCCGTTCCAGACCTTGGCCACTCTAACTGTGAAGAAGTTCCTCCTAATGTCCAATCTAAATCTGCTCTCTGCTAGCTTGTGGCCATTATTTCTTGTAACCCCTGGGGGCGCCTTGGTGAATAAAACCTCACCAATTCCCTTCTGTGCCCCTGTGATGAACTTGTTGGACTATGCAGAACAGTTGGTAGAATTTCAGCTTATCAGTACTTTTTTGGAAAATGTTATGTATGTCTTCCTTCTGTGTGGGTAGGAGGGATTAAAACATTTAAGCTAGTTTGCATTTTAAAAAAATGATAGACAAATCAATGGTTAATCTTGTCTTTTTGACTTGACACCTCAGATTTTGACTTAAGAATTTGTTTTAAAACTAGTTTCAGCATTTGGCCCTAAAAAGCAAAGCGTTAAAAAAAAGTGAACATCAGTAGAGAGGTTTCTATTATTTTTATAAATTTCTAGGGGAAAATGTTCTGTTTGAATGCAGGGTTTCTTTTCCCTGCCATGTTTACAACCTTTCAATGAAAACCTGAAAGTGAACTACACTGTAGAAAAATTAAACTGATTCCGTTTGCTCACTTGTCAAGTTGAGAGAAATGCAAAAGAATCATAAATAGTAAATGTAAATAAGATTTTTTTGAAGTTCAATTTTAAGTATGACTAGCATTGTTATTAGCCTAACTTATTCTGAAATGCTCTCTGAGATATTTAAGTTGACAATGCTACTTTAAATGTACCAGGTAGTAACGCTTTTAAAGACTGAAAATACATAAAGTATATTTGATACTTAGACTGAGTAGGAAATATAGGAAAGAGAAAAAATCTCCAGTGTTCTGATTTGATCTCTGAGGGTGGAGAGGGGAAGAATTGTTAGGGTTGTTTGGGGGGTGTTGTTTAAATTTATGAACCCAGTGTTTAGACTTGATTGCTTTCTAAAGATTGGATGGGTACCTAAGACTTCGAATAGATGTTATTTTGTTTCTGCATCCGATCTGATTGATCAGCAAAAAACAGATGTTGCCAGAGCTGTTGTCCCACAGGATCAGGCATCTGCTTCTCAGGGCTTCAAGGGCCAGTTCCTGTAGAATAGCAGCTTTGGGTGCCATGCCCTAACCTGGGAGGCAAGTCTTCAACTAGGGTTTTCCCATAGGATTTCCCCCACTTGCAGATGCATAGCCTGGGAATCTATCTTAAGAGTCAGGGTATGGCAGTGTGAAACACATGCTCCCATGAGGACAGTGGCCCCAGGTGTGCCGTACCCCACATCAGGGCACGCATTCCCTGGCCCCCTGAAGGTGGAGAAACTCCCATGGATTGGGGTGTGGCAGTGTGAAGCAGAGGTTCCTCTAGAAAGGGCACAGCAGTGTGGAACATGCCCTGGAATCCCCTGTATGGTAATTCCCGAGTCATGCAGTAAGCGAGGATGTCCTCCCAAAAAAGGGGTCACGCACATTGTTAGGCAATTGGAGTATGACAAAGGACAGGGATGTCTGTTTGCTTGCAACGTATGCGGCCATAGCAAATTTTGGGGCAGATAATGACGACATGTGTTTGCACCATAAGAGTTAGCAATCTGAACTCTGTTCTCAGCTAAACTGTGGACTCACTGTGTAGGAAGATGGCTAATTAAGTAAACTTAAATAAGCCTTGGTGGACAGCATCTCAGTAGAACTTGCTACCTTTTATTCTAATATATTTCCAAATAAGAGCAGGTAATTTAGTATTTGGCAAATGAAACACATTGCATGACTTTTCCCTTAGTATGGTATTGTCCTTAATTTTTAATTTTACGCGTATATTAGTGCAAGTCAGGCTCGAGTTAGTCCTTCAACATCATATACTCCAAGTCGCCACAAGAGGAGTTATGAGGAAGATGAAGATATGGAGCTGCATCCATCTAAACAGAAAGAGCAGCACACGGGTAACAGTTTATATTCATGATTGGACATTACAGTAGCTTTTTGGAATTAACACTTTGGACTCTGTCTGGGTGAGCCAGTAGGGTTGATGGAGCTTTTTACTTCGGTGCTGATGAGTATGGGCATTTTTATACATGCAAGCGGCGCAGCACTGGGTGCTTTGAAAAGTGCCCGGCACTGCATCACTTGCAGTTGTATAAGCGGCAAAATGCTCATCAACACTAACAAAATGGCAACAACACGCTCTTGAACTTAAACACATCGGAGGTGTTTTAGTTCAAAAGTGTACCACTGCCATTTTCTGTGTGCTGACACGCATTTCGCCACTTATGCAACTACACACAATGCAGCGCAGTTCGCATCAGCTTGCGCGTGGAGCAGACTCGATTAATCAAGTCCGCTCTGAAGCGGTGGATTTCTGGTGCGTCACAGGGCAAAAATGTATGTGTATAAATGCCCTTTGCATACCCACAACTGAGACAGATGGCATTTTAACTTTGAGAAACTCCAAGAGCTAACAAAAAGCAGGGTGGGTTTATAGCACACATGCTGCTGATGATGCTTCCTAAAATCTAATATTTCAAGGCCACCCAAGTAGATTAGTGATTGCTGCATAAAAACAAAAGAAACTTCTAGTATTGGGTTGGGCCTCATGAAATCTGGTTTACTTCTCAGCTCTACCACAGACTTCCTTTTTGACATCAAGACTGTCCCTTAATTTCTCTCCTTTTCTGTTTCCCAACATGTAAAATAGGATTTTAAAGTAGAGGGTGGCACTGTATTTCTAAAACTAGTCTATGTTAGGAAGAATTAATCCGGTTTCCGTGCACATCCTACTCATTCACAAACAGGCAAGAATGTTCCTTGCCTTAGTCCCTGGTTCCTACATGGAATTGAATTAATTGTTTGTTTGCTGGTTGAACAGGAAGAGGCTAGTCTAAAAATAATAATCAAGTTCACAGAAGCTGTTACTTAAAATATTGTTTGGTGTTATTTTTCAGTCAGTTTATCTGTCAGATTTTAAGGCTTTAAATGTTTGTTTTCTAGTAGTTTACTGTTTTTTAAAAGGTGTTGCATTATATTTTAAATACATACGGTACTTCAGATTGCTTAGCTCACATGTGAAGACAAAACAATCACAGCATGGCTTTTAAATAGTTGCCTTATTACAGCAAATCAAGAGATTCCTAATTGGTAAGTTGTTTAAGAACAAGTTAAACTTTCAGGGAAAAAAAAGAAACCTCAGGTGCAAAATGGATCATTACTAGGGCTCTTCTGAAATCTACAAAATATAATGCTTAAATAGACATCTAAATAGAAGCCAAGGAATTCTGATTTGACTACAGGTTTCCCTCGCTGTATGTGAGTTGGGTATGTGGGTTTCTTGTGCAGTGACCCTTTTTATACCCAAAATGTGTTTTATGAGAGGTAAATTCACTCTTATACAATCGGCAGTAGGTAAGTCTGAGGGGAGGGGAGGGGACTGCAGGGGGGCAGATCAAAGCCCCAGCAGTGATGGAGGGAGTAGGGCACAGGCAGGAGCAGGGGCTGGGGTGAGTGGGGCCTTGACCTGCCCCCACACTGGTGGTGAGCAAGTGGGGCTGGGGCAGAGGCAGGTACTGCACAGCTGGGGTGGGGAATTGGACTGGGAGTGAGGCTCTGCTGCTATGGGCTGCCATGCCAGACTCTTCCCTGTGGGGTCTGGGCTGCGCATGGGGCAGCTGGTGGCAGCACTGGGGAGAGGGAGGGGGGGGGATCCTGCAGCCACCCCAAAATTTGCCATAGCTCCTCCAGCCCCCCTCCCAGCACCGCCGCCGCCTGCCCCAAGTGCAGCACGGCCTAACCCCACTCCAGGAAGAGCTTAGCACGGCCCTAAGCCCCAGCCCGTAGCAGCAGAAGCTGCACTCCCCATCCCGTGCCCTGCCCTGGCTGTGCAGCGCCTACCCGAACCCCAGCCCCACTCCACCTCTCACACCGGGCGGGGGGAGAACGGGGGAGACCGATGGAGACCCCACTCACTGCAGCCCTGAGGCTGGGCTCTTCCCAGTGCAGGGGATGTGCTCTGCTGCGCTTGGGGCAGGTGGTGCTGGGTGGCGAGCTAGCCAGGGAGAGCTATGGTGAAGTTTGGGGTGGCTGCAGCCCAGCGCCACCGCCCTGAATGCAGTGCAGCCTAGCCTGGCCCAGCCCAGCCCCCTGGCAGGAAGAGCCCAAAACTGCCCCAGCTCCTGCAGACTTACCTGCTGCTGATGCAGTCAAGGTCTTGTACCCTATCCCTGTTTGTTACTTTGTAAAGTGGGTTCCCTTTATGCGAATTCGAGGTGTGCGCAGTTTTTCAGGAACGCATATACCACAAAAAACAAGGGAAACCTGTATATGTTTAAGACCTGCAGATTTTTACAACTAGGCCATCATGCATTCATCATGGTGCTCGTATTTGTCACTAGAAGTACACATCTCTGCCTTCCAAAAGGGACAATTAAATGACTAGGAGAAACTACTGCTTCCAAAGCAATTTCTTTATTAGTGCTTCTTCAGGGTTCCTTATTGATTCAGCTTGCCTTATATTGCTCCCTGAAGGAGTGCATGTTGCTTATTTTAGCTTTTGTGCTTGATGAAGCTGTGGAAAGCTGTCATTCCTTCATGTTGCAGGGAGTGTAGGTGATATCCATGGGTGTGGAGAGCCAAAGCGATTAGAAACTGAAGCTTCCGCAGGACATCATCTGACCTCCCCAAACTGCTCCCCTCCACTTGATCTAAACTTCCCACTGCCAGGAGAGAAAGGCCCTGCATGTCTCGTAAAGGTAACTAGATCAAAAGGGTGATTGCCTCACTGAGGGGATAAATAAGAGAAGGAAGTGAGAACCCTGAAAGCAGAGTAGTTATTGTTAAGACACTACGTTAACTTAGACAAAAATATTTTGCCACCTTCTAACTTCTGTTTTCTACACGAAAATGTAATACTGTTTCCACAAATAACTTCTGAACTCTGTTTCCCTTGATTACCAATAAGGGATATTAGAATTGCTGATGTCAATGCTGATAGGTGTTGTAGCACATTTATTCACAGCTGTACTTGGCAAAAACAAAATTATTGTCATTTGAAATGCCCAAGCGTAAGGATGATCTTGACTCATGGTACTTGAGTATGTTGGAGCTGGGGTCCTCTCTGAAGAGATGGGGAGAAGTGTAATGGAGCAAGGGGGGAACAATTCATTGCTTGCATTTCACTTTTGCATTTAAAATAGCTTTTTATTGATTGATGCATATTATGAGTTTGAAAGTGAGGAGTAAAGTCCCTTCATTGTATCTCTGTTTTAATATTTGGCAGTCTTTCTGCAGTTAGAACTGAATCCCTTGATGCAGAGGTGTCAAATTCATCTGCCCCCACAGGCTGGATAAGCAGCTTGGGGCCAGTCCACGGGCCTGATCAAGCTCTCAGGCACCCTCTTTCTGCCCCCTTCCCCAGCATATCTGATCCAACAGCTGTTCCACCCAGTCTGGGACCTGTGCTGTGGGTGGTGCAAATCCCAGAGCAGCCAGAACAGGCACCAAGTGTGGCACAATCCAGCCAGAGCAATAGCTGTGCTGCACACAGTGGCCACCCCAACTGGACTGTGACATGCACCACAGGTCCTGGACTGGCTGGAACAGTCATGGTGTGTAGCACAGGCATCGCATGTATTCCAGTCTGCCCAGGGCAGCCGCTGCATGCAGAGTGGCTGCTTCTGTGGCCAAACTGTAGTACACGTGATGCCTGTTCTGACTACTCTGGGATCCAAGTCTCACACAGTGTGGGTCCCACACCATATGGAATAGCTGCTGGATCAGGTATGCAAGGGGAAGGGGAGACAGTCTGTGAGCCAGATCTAGCCTGGGGACCAATCCTGCACCACAGACAAACACTATGTCTTGTGTGGGTCTGATCAAAACCAGGAACAGCACCGCAGGGCCAGATGGCAGGGCTCTGTGGGCTGGATCTGGCCTACGGCCATATGTTTGACACCCATGCCTTAATGGAAAAGAATATAGTCTTAATGAGTCTTAATGCATCATTCTGCTCTGTCTCCTGTTTGTTTTATCTCACACTTCTTTTTTGGCAGGTCTATGAGAGCTGGGATAGTTTCAAAGTCAATGATATTCTAGAGGTATATGGCATTTTGTCTGTGGATCCAGTGCTAAGCATAGTGAACAACGAAGAGAGGTAAGGCTGAAATCCAGACTTGTAGGGATTATAATTGAAAATGCACAATGTATATAAATGTTCTGCCCTAAAAACTGAAATGAAAGAGCCATTTGTCAGAGCATTGTCCAAAGACGCTTTTTTCCTCAAGTTGAGCTTGATGCTCAGGAAAGGTGCTGGATTCATAGCCATGTAAGTTGAAGTCCTCTGTCCACAAAATCAGTATTGCAGGGACACGTTGCCTCAGTGTGCCTCAAACCAAAACGGGAGGCCACTTCTAGCTGAAATATTAGTTCATTTTTCATGCTTATTCAGTCCAGGAGGAAAGACTTTTTTGAACATCTGGTTTCCTTTGTGATCTGCCTAGCTAAGTAAGCCTCAATTTTTAGTTTTGTAACCATTAAGCGAAGTTAAATGTCAAGCATTTCTTTGTACTCTGGATTGGAACACTTCTCAGTTCATGGTAACTGAGAAGTAAAGGAAGATGGAAACCTGTATAGCTAAAAGATCATTCTGAGAACAACTGAAGCCAAAGCCACCACATTTAAATACATCAGAAGCAGGGAGCCTGGAAAATAATTGGTATGTCTAGAGAGCAATGAAAGAAGGATAAGGACTTTATGAGGAAGCTAAACTTTTTTCTACACTGTTCTTCATCTTGGAGGATGTTGGGGAGATAATTATGCTTTTCAGGTAATAAGGATGAAGCACTGTTAAAGGGTCAAGATTTGGTGCTGGAACAAACTAAAAAAGAAAAGGGAGCAGCTTGTGTTCATCCAAGAGTTGAGAGAAAAACAACAGGGGCCAAACTAATTCAAGGAAACAATCTTTCATTCAGTATAGGTCCTATTCTAAAGGGCAGTCAGTCTCTCTCTCTCTCTCTCAAAATAGAAAAGGCTAGATGATCCATAGAACTAGACTGAGAAAAATAATTAAAGCTATAATAGTTATTATATAACCTTTTAACAGTATAGCAGAAATAGAAAAGGGTTGAACAGAAGAGCAACGAAAATACAGCAGTGGTTATCAACCTTTTTAGATGCTGGATACCCCTGGTTAGAATTGAGACACCCCTCAAAAAATGCCAGCTCTTAGCTTTCACTCATTTTTTGACTACAGAAAAAAATAATAGAGTAATTCAGCTACTGTGAAGAACTCAGAAAGACCACAGCAGGTCAGGATGTTTTTTATGTTATGGATTCCTATTTGGAATCTTTTGTGAATCATGTTTGCACACACAACAGTGCTACTATCGTATGCATCCTGTGGTACCCTTTGTCTCGGCCGGCCAGAACCGACTCGAGGTGATTAAGAAATTGCTCGTTCGTCAGGGCGGGCTGGTGAATGGAGAGACAGACAAGGTTTAATGGTTGCAAAAACGTTTACTTACGCCGCGTGGAGTTGCGACGCAGCTGGTCCGGTCGTCTGAACAACCACGTGAGTTGTTCCAGCTGGCGAGGCCCAAGCCAGTTAATCCGTCCGCAAATCAAGCCAGCGGGAAAAGGGTACGTCTGGGATTGTGCTCGGCGACGGGAAGAAGGATCGATAGGTGATCAGTCTATCAGTCAGCTAGCCGCAAGTCAGATCTCTTCTGAGGCACTCTGCAGCATGCTCAAAGTTCTTCAACTTGGGCGGAAGTCGCACGAAATTTTAAATGGCTAGCAAGCCAATTACCAGCCGCCATGTGTGAATAATTTAGCACTGGCCAATAGCGGGACACAAATTTGCATTCAACTAGCGGGAACTCTTTGCACCATGCATTTCTGTGCTGCAAAGAAGAAATGCACCCTGCAAATTGGCGGGAACTTTCTTGCACCGAGGTTCTTCTGCTGCAACAGAAACCCTCACTGTGCAAGAGGCTCTCATGTGGCAAGAAAATTCCATCGTGCCGAGGCACCAAAATCACTGGGTTGTGACACCCTTAAGGCACTCACAGTCCCCAGGTGGAGAATTACTTGGTTAGAGGCATGAATGGCATTCCGTAGGAGGTGAGTGGAACTATTACAATTCCCTGGTGTAGAAGGGAAATAAGAAGAAATATATAAAATAATAATTGGTGTAAAAGAGTTATAGCAGATGCTCTCTCCTTTCTCATCATAACACAACAAAGGGATGACTAATTAAACTTAGATTACAACTAAGATAAATATGCATCCTTTTAAAGAAGAAATCTTAATCTGTAGAAATTAGCTCCACAAAATATTTTACCATGTTTTGCCAGATCCAAAAACATGAATTGGACATCTGCATGGAAAACAAATGTCCAGTTACATTAGATGGGATTAAAAAAAAAATGGAAGGTATATAGAACCTTGTATTATACCAATCAGTAATTGGTGAGATTCTAGGGGACAAAATCACTTAATAGGTCACAGTTTTCTATAATTGTCCACCTGAATTTTTTCTGGGTCCCCTCACTTCCACCGTCCCAGGATAATGTTTTGCCACTCACTTTCCAGAGACAGGATATTGGACTGCATAGATTACAAGTCCTGTATTACTGATACATGTTTCTGAATCTTTGTCTTTTTGAATGTGTTAATTCTCTGTGCAATTTTTATTTTCCCTTTTTGTTTGTTATACTGATAACTGCAGTTTGAATCTGTGTAGTGCCAGACAAGCTTCTAAAAGTAACTCAGCACAGTCAGCTGTCTGCTAATCAGCTGTCTGATGGTAGCCTAACACTAGTGTTAGTTCAACATGCCTCATCACAAAACTTTTCTGTTCTCGGTCATTTTTCAGATAAACCAAATAGAATACAGCAAGGATCTTGAACTTTACAATCATTGAATTGAGTATAAGGAGAAAAAGGTGGTATTGGCCCTTTTAATTAGCAACTGCCCCAAGTAAGGAGCAGTGAGCCACCACTTCTGTACCATCGGTACAAAGCCGATGTAGTTGGTACTATCTGAAGATTGTTACCATTAGGTGTCTGTCTCAGTCTTATTCTGGTTGCAGAGTTGACACCTGTTTAAATACATACCTGAACCCCCAGCCCCATGAATCAAACTTTTTAAGGCCTCTTCAGAGATGCCAGTGTTTGAATAAGCATGACTGGATTGTTCTCTAACGCCTTGAAATAGCCATTCAAGTTTGGGTTTAGGATCCCTGTTGGAAAGCGTTTTAATTTACATGTTCTGTGATTATAAAAAATTGTCCAAGACTGAAAATCTGGAACTCTAAAACAATACATATGTACAGCCATAGACTTGTAACATAGTTGTTTCACTTAACAAATTTCTGTTGAGCAAATAAGTGTTACCATGGAGAATGTTTCACAGCTCTCGTTTAGGTGATGTAATGATCAGGCGGGGGTAAATTTACTTCACAAAACTGAGATGTTTACAAATTCCAAAGTATTTTCAGAAAACTAGCAGTATATTTTTGTTTGAATCTGATTAAGTAGTCATAAATTGTAGTTGTAAATTGTTATGATTTTCATTGTTCTGACTTCTTTAATTCCTACAGTTTTAATTAAACATCTTATTGGAAAGATGATAAATTCTGATAGCTTAAATACATCTTTCAGTAAGATGAAGCTGAGAATAGATGTTACTTGTCTTTGTGTATTGCAGTTTTGACAAGGATTCCAAATGCATTTCAGAAGTAACAGGGGAATTTGCAGAGAATTCACATAAGCTTGGCTTTATTGTCTCATTTACTAGGGAGAACTCCTCATCACTATTTGATCCTATGGAGTGCATGGATACAGCAGAAGAACAGAGAGTACACAGTCCTCCTGCCTCATTAGTCCCCAGAATCCATGTAATTTTGGCACAGAAATTGCAGCATATTAATCCATTATTGCCTGCTTGCCTTAAAGAAGAAGAAAGTAAAAGCTGTGAGTATCTGAACTATGGAGTGCAGTTGCTCAGACTGTATTATACCTTCCCCAAAATACAAACAAGTAATGGTTATTAACAGCAAAATTTAGCAACAGGATAATCTGTTCTTTAAAGCAGCGTGAGGAAATGTGGCTGCATCTGCTAAGTTGCATCAGACATGATGGTAAGTGGCAGAGTTATTGATAAAATAGTAGGTGTTCCTATGACTCATCTTAAACATTTAGGAAACATGAAAGGCTGTAAGTTTTGGAGCCAAATGTGTAATACATAAGGTGACCATTTGTCCTGGTCTGGTCAGGAGGTCAGAAGTCCTGGGCCAGGGTTTTGCAGGGAGGCAGAGCGGCATGGTACACCAGGCAGGTGTTCAGACAGGCACCACTGCCACTTTTCAGGAGCAAGGTGGGCAGACTGGAGCAGGCTCCTCCCCACCTGCATATGGCATGTCCTTGCAGCCTGCCCAGTGCATCATGCCTCTCCACTACCCGCTGGACCCTGGCTGGGGCCTGTTGACCAAGTACCTGGGACCAGCGTACTGAATTTGAGAGTGCCCTGGCTAAACTAGGACATATGATCATACAGCTTTCAATTAAAAATCTGAAAGGGTTTCTAGGATATTGAGCAGCTGAAACTATCCCCAAGTCAGCCATTACTCATTCAGCAAACCACTCGAGTGGGTTTTTAACTCCTACTCATGCTGCTTTTTTAATTTAAAATAGGAATCCTACTTTTGTTGTGGCAGCTACCATGTTGCACATATGGCATCTGAAAGGAGGTTAATTATGAAACTGTTTCCCAATAATGTTTTAGGGTAAATTGCCATTTGTAACCTGGTTTTTTTTTGGCCTTGTTTAGGGACTGCACTTCCTTCTGCCCAGACCGCTACTTCTTCCTGTTTTATGATTAAATAACTTCACTTTTCATGTTATATTTATAAGCAACTTCTATTTAAGCCTAGTTGTAATCCACTGAACATCACATGTAGGGTCAGAAACCAGTTTTGATGATCAAGCACAGGAAGATTGAGAAGCTAAATTGGATCATGTTTTGCCTTATCAGAATTCAGTTCCATTTGACAGAATATGACTGGTTTGTTGAGCTCCATCCCTGGAAACTCTTCAGTGGGAATTAGTGTGCTGTTTTTCTTGTAGTCTGATGTAAATATCACTGAACTCTTAGCCAGAATTCATTTAATAATATTGTCAATTTTCTTGCACAATTGTACACTATTTTTCCCAGTCTAGTTTATTATATATGGGCATCTGGCGAAATAATTTGCAACTTCTGAAATCTCCAAAAGTGTTTTTTTTCTTTTTGACTTAACTATAAATGAAACTTCAATTTTTATTAAACAAACAGGGGTGTTAAAAGTGAAAACCATGTCTGCTTTTAAGTTATGTATATCGCTATCAAAAACGTTTTGGACTTATAAGGGTGCTGCTTTTGTTGGCTGGTAGAATTCAAAAGCCTGTTAAGTAAAGTTGCTTAGTTTGGGTTTATAGGAGGATCTCATTTAGTTTTGCAGCTGTTTCACCAGTAGTTGCATACTTGTCTGAAATAAAGTTCCTGTAGCAATAACATGCAGGAAGGAACTGAAAATGAACAATAGCCAAAAATAGTGAGATGAAAAGAGGAATTTTTTCTGTATTTACATACAGGGTTTGCATAGGGACTAGACTTCAATCGAAAAAAATATTCAAGACCAGAAAAATTAAAATGTTCAATAGACTGTATATTTGTTAACGCAGGAAAAATGTGGTTTTGGTTTCACTGTTAAGAGGATTGGGGTTTGGCAATTGATTATTATTATTTTCCCTTTGCTTTTGAGCGGTCTCTAACAGTGCTTTAAAGACACCTCTGAAATATATTGCTTAAATGCCTCTAGCTTTACAAGTAGAGGACAAATGTGCTTAGGAATTACAAATATGGCCAGAAGTGATTGAAGGGTCCAAGCCAAATTGTTTTAAAATTAAAGTGAGAGATACCTTGTCAAAGCCTTCCACCCATTAAATAGAAGTAAGTTTCTCTAACTTCAGCAGAGTAGAGAGTTAACATACTACTTAATTTTTTTTTTCCTTTTAAAGGTATTTAGAAGTACTGTTTGAAAATGACAGTGAAAACCTGCTCTGGCTCTAACACAGGATTACACACCAATAATTCAGAATCATTCTGTTTTTAATTGGATATTTATGGCAGATGATGACAAGATCAGGAAGGACTTTTATGTTCTTTTTACCTCTCTTGGCATGTAGTAAAGGGTCTCAAATGGGTTTTCCCTTTGGTTTCTAATAGGAAGGGAAAGTCTCTTTTTTTAATTCCTTCCATGTGCTTTAGATTAATCAATACCATTATATGGTTCTAGGAAAACAAACATAACCAAAGCTGGAGAAACTTGCACTGTATGCAAGTTTGAAATTTACTATGTTGTTTCTGTTAATTTTTAGTGAAACAAGGGATTTTCCCCCACCAAATTAATTATGTGAAGCCTCCGTTTTAAGAGTCCTTCTGTTTGCTTTTCTGAAAAAATGTGTAATAAAAATTTATTAGTGAGATAAGGGTTCGTTTTTGTAAAGCATTAAAAGGTCTCGTAGAAATTAGATGCAAAGTGTTAGAACCAGAGCAATAGTCGAGAGTCCATTATGAAAACAGTGTCAGAACTGTTTAGTTGCATCCCTTGACATCTGTAAACCATTTAAAGCAGAGTGAGCCATGTATCATCTACATAATAGATTTTGAACAAATTAATGCTAAATGCCAGCTATTGCAGCATAGTGATGCCCAAAACTTCAGCCTGGTTATCTTAAAAGAAAGTTATCAGCACTCTTCAGTAATTAACTTTTGTACTATACACTGAAATGCATTCTAGGAAACCACAGTTTTATGGATTGGATTCATTGACTAATCACATGACTTTCAGTTAGATTTGGCATGAGGCTTAAAGATACTTAATGAAGAAGGGAATTTAGTGGCTCTAGTGTACCAGATTTGCAAAAAAAAATGGTAAAGGCCCATTAGTGTCTATAACAGGATTTTAAAATTGGTTAATAGAGGCAAATCTCACAGGAGGAGTGTTGCTGGGACCATGACTGCATTTCTGTATTATTCAGATCCCAAATTTAACTAGACAGGCTTTGACATGAAATTCTTACAATTGTTTTATAATATAGGAGTTCAGACAGCACAGGTTTGTTTTAGTGCAGAACAAACAAACTGAATCATAAGCATCTGTTTCCTTTGGTCCTTGCAGAGGGATTCCTAAACTAAGTATTAATCCAGTAAGTTAATATTACTGTGTTTTAAGTGGGAAAGTTTTAGTTTAAAAGAACACTTACCATAAATTCCTTCAGTGCCAGTTACCTGATATGGGCATGTGATCAAACAGTAGCAGCTGCAGAAAGGGCAGGATAATAGAAACAAACCTGGATTGAAATTTAAACTATTAAGTTGTTAATTTAAGCAAGGGAAGTAGTCAGCAGAGAGAGACTGGAAGACAGGCATGTGAAAAGCAGTTATTTGAGGAAATTTTCTGATTGAGCTCACAGCTTTGAAAAATACATATCTCTCTTAGTTCACCTGAAGACACGTCTGTTCCACAGCACTCAGAGAAAGTTGATTTAAACGAGAGAGAGAACCACTCATTCAGTTCATATTGTGGGCTAGCCATATTGTTATAAGCTCTTCAGGTAATGCTGATATCTCATTACCCACAGTGCTAGAATGAAACCAGTGATGGTTGTGTGATGCCTGCACGTGAATTCTCTGTCCTGCTCAAGTGAGAAAGGAGTGTTGATGTGCTCGAGCTCAAATTTACACTTTCAGGATGCTGGGGCAGTCTGTGGATGTGCATCAAAAATCACTATCAGCAGAGATAAAACTCAGCTGGAGGTAACCCTCATTTAACAAGAGTTGCATCCTCAAGGTGCTGTATTCTAGAAGTACATCCCTTTTGCAACTGACTTTCATTTCTGAGAGACAGGAGTTGCGTCCCTTCTTTTGAGGGATCTGATGTACTTCAAAACTAAAGTAACAGCACTTTTGATACTGGCATGAGTTAGAAAAGGGAGGCAGGAGTTCCACAGAAATATGTAATCAATGAAGCAGAAATCCTGCTTTACAGCCAACAAGGAAAAGGGAGATCATTTTTGTCTCTAATTGTTATACAACAAAACCCATGCTGAAAAACTCTGAAGAAACAGCAGCCCGACAGCCAGTGGCAGCAACTCCTTCCTCAGCATTACTGATAATCAGTTGATTTAATTAGGGGCTTTACTTTAAGTTGGTGTTTGTGAGAATCTTGGAACCAAAACCTGTCAGCTATTGACATTAGTGGTCTGCACTTATTGAGACCTTGCTGACTGTTACGCTTCCCTTCCCATTTATTTGTTGTGCCCGCTCAATTTAGACTGCTGAGCGTTTGTAGCAGAAGCTCTCTCCCATCACGGTGTATATCACGTCATCCTGAGACAGTGAGGTGTGATCTCACGAAAGCCTCTGGGCACCACTTTAAAATGATACGTTCTCTAAAATTACAGTAACCAGAGTTCAGAAATGATGGCGCAAAAATCCAGGCATAAAAGGACACACAATGAAGTGTGGATATTCAGATTCTTGACGTGTATATTTTCATAGTGTTAGAAAATGCAGGATGAATTTCCTACCACGTGGTCACATTATACTCCTGACTTGGATCAAGGTAAACTTGGATGGAAATTGGAATACAGTTAAATGAACAAAAACAGCATTTTAAAGTGTTGTTAGTTAAATAAATGTGCTTTAAATATGCTTTATGTGTGTGAGAAAAATCTATCAAAAGGTTTTGTATTTAAGACTGACCAAGTGGAAATGACAGCTGAATTTGCCTAATTTAAGAAAGAGAGGGCAGGTTGGTGCGCAAGGCTACAATTATACTCACTGATAGCCTAAATAAAGGGAATTTTTCTGCCTCAGAAAACTTAGGGCTAAGGAACAGAATCCTGACTCTAGAAAAAGTTAATTCAAGTGCTTCTGCACGAACTTACCATTCCCCTCTGTGATAACACAATGCATGGTAAGCCTCATTTGGAGAGGAGCAGGGACAGATGCAGGGTGCTTCTGGTATTTATTGTCCTTTGCTTTTTTATCAGTTGTTTCTAGTTTCATGTCTGAACTGTCACCAGTTCGAGCGGAGCTGCTTGGATTCCTCACTCATGCCCTCCTAGGAGATAGTTTGGCTGCTGAGTACCTTATATTGCATCTCATCTCCACAGTGTAAGTAAGCCTAAATTTCTTAGAAAAACCATCTGCCTGTTTTTTGCCAATCTACTACCAGCTAAGTAATTCTTCAGCCAAGGTGACTTAAATATTTGTGTGCCAGTAGCACCTACTGGCTGTAACTGGGATGGGGCATTGCTTTAATGGATGCAAGTGTGGAGGTTTCAAACACATTTTCAAAACCAAGCATCCTTTGTGTTTGAGGGTTAAAACAAATTCCTTCCTTCTGTTTCTTCACCCTTTATTTTTGAAAACTCTGTCCATGGATTGGAGACTAACAAAACATTTTGTGTTTAAATCTGACTGAGTTTGTTAATGAAGTACCAATGGTATTTAATGATTTAACTGATTGATTGATTGTTTCTGGTTACTATAAGCTAGAGTGTCAAAGGCCTTTAGTGGGGATGCACAGATAAAGATTTTCTTGGCCAATACCGATAGTCTATTATTAACTAGCCACATCTGCCAATACCAGTTGATAACCAGGGATCCTGATTTTCCTGGATTAAAAAACTGCAAATTCTCTGATAAAACCCCCAAAATCTGTGATTAAAATGGAAGACCCCCTACAACCCTGCCAGAAGCATGTGCATGCACATGGTGCCCCCTGCCTTGGCGCCCCTCCCTCTCCCTTCCTGGAACTCTGCAAGCCTGCAGAGAGCTTGCTGCCAAACTGCAAAATCCATGGGTTTCTCTGCTAAATTGAGAAATCCACAATTTCCTCTGGTAAAGGGGGAAATCCACATTTTACTCTGTTTTTCCAAGGGAAACAGAAAACCCAGATCCCTGCTGATAACCGATTTACAGGAATGCAGCTAGTTGGCAGCTCCTTGCAGATAAATCTGTGGAAGGGAAGGGGCATGGTGGGGTGGGAAGGGATGTTGGGGGGAGGCCAAATCAAGGCCCCCTGGTGAGGGCTGGAGTGGGGCAGGGACTGGTGCTGGGGGCACTGCCCACACTGAATGGGACCCAGGGCCGGGAGTGGAATGGAGCCATGAGCAGCTCGTCCAGAGGATCAGCATCCCAGCACTTAAAAATGGTGGCAGTGCTTGAACTAAAACTTGTTGAATGAACTTTAGTTCAAGTGCCACCGACACCATTTTTAAGCGCAGTGACATTTTTAACCGGAGCCAAGCCAAGCAGGGCAAGAGCAGATGTGGACTGCTTGCTGTGGGCTCGGGGCTCTCCGTGGGCTCGGGGCTCTCCCCCCTGCTGCCTTTGCCCCAGAGGATACACAGCCAGCATGGGGCTGCCAAGGCAAAGACAGAAGAGCAGAGCCCTCAGCCCACAGCCACCCTGCGCACCAATCTGGGGGTTACACATGTCCCTCCATGCCTCCCCCGGGAGGTGCATTCAGTGCACGGGAGCCAACCATTGATTTTCAGTTCCATTTCTCCCCCCTCCCCCCCAACTATTAAACTTTTGTTATACCAATATACTAAAGATTAATATAGCTCCTGCTTGGCCCATTACAATGTATGTCTACTAAACCCAGATATTTAATATAGACTATACGTGCCCTTCTGCTTGCTAATCAGCTACTGGATCACGAGTCAGAGATAGGCAAAAGAAAGGGAGCTGCATTTGTCTATTTTCTCCATTTACTCTATTGGTGGGATTTCTAGACTTCTTTTATCCCTGTATCTCTGTGGTTGGGGGAATATCACCACCCTAAGGGGTGAGGTACTTTCTGTTGCATAAGGGGAACGCTTGAAAGCTTACAAATAACTGTTTATGCCATTCCAAGGCTTTTCACTTAGGCAAACAGTTAAAAGTCTGCTAGGAAGTAATTGCAGGATACCTTTTTCTAGAGAAAGCAGTGGCATCTCTGGTATTCTGTCAACTTCGGGGCCAGAACCTCTAACTGGCTTGATGAAAAGCCAGTGTCCTGGAAGATATAGGCACGTCATTTTTTCCCCCTTCCCAAGCCAGAGCCTTCCTTTGTCTGCATTTCATGTTGGAAAGGGAGTTATTGTCCTGGACGACCAATCTGAACATGATGCCTGATCCTGCTAGGAGGGCTATCACCTCTTTCCATAGCCTGTGCTGGAAATGTTTTGCTGGACTGGAACACGAGGTTGACAAAACATGTTCAGTGCTTTAGAGGCCAAAAAGGAGATGAAGTCTCCAAAGTCTTATGTGTTCTACATACACATACTAAAAGGATCCCTGCTTAAATAGTTGTGATAAAGGACTTGTGCAATTTGAGTCATAGAAATTAAGACTCAGGTCCACCAAATGAATGATTTAGAAGTCCAAAGTGGGCTTTGGAAACATATATGCACCTAAGTCTACGAGTGTGATCCTCAAAGCACACCCCCTAACCTTTTAGCCCCCTAGGTACCTAGGGTACCTGTACACAAGCACAGAGGCTGCTCCAATGCTTTGTAATTACAGCAAATCGGAGCAGACTCAATTAACTGAGTCTGCTGGGAGCATGGTAATAACAGTGCTTCAGCAGCCTCCCGTGTATTGTGTATCAGCATCCGTCCCCAGATTTAAAAAAAGGTGGTGGGGATGCTTGAACTAAAACTTGTTGAATGAACTTTAGTTCAAGTGCCACCGACACCATTTTTAAGCGCAGTGACATTTTTAACCGGAGCCAAGCCAAGCAGGGCAAGAGCAGATGTGGACTGCTTGCTGTGGGCTCGGGGCTCTCCACCCTGCTGCCTTTGCCCCAGAGGATACACAGCCAGCATGGGGCTGCCAAGGCAAAGACAGAAGAGCAGAGCCCTCAGCCCACAGCCACCCTGCGCACCAATCTGGGGGTTACACATGTCCCTCCATGCCTTCCCCGGGAGGTGCATTCAGTGGTGGGGAGCCATCCATTCCCCTCCGTGCCCCCTGAACAAGTGACCCGCCCTGGCCCTGGGTCCTATTCACCACCCTGGCTGGGCAGCACCCCCTGCCCCACTCCCTCCCTCACCGTGGGGGCCTTGATCTGCATCCCCCTCCCCTACACATGTGCTGCAGGCTCCCCCCCCATGTTCCTTCCTCTACACAGACTTACCTGCAGGATGCTGCTTTCCACAGTGTCCAGCTGCATTCCTGGCCATGTGCATGTATGTGGCTGCATGCACACACACATGCAACATCCGAGGGCCCTGGCCAAAAGGCATATTATATTTATCAGTGAACATTATCAACTACACCGACCAAAAAAAGCCGATAGCCAATAATGTTACTTTTCCTTTTATTGGTGCCAATCTAATATGCAACCAATATGTCGGTGCAGTTCTAGTCTTTAGGCTTGTTGGTGATTGGTGCCAAGTAGAATGTTTCCTGAAGATTAGAGTAGGTGTCCAAGGCCCACTGAAATAATGTCCTTCTGGTTTTTATACTAGAAGGCTTCTAGTTACAGTGTCTCTGCATCTGTCAGATAAATTGAAACCAAAAATAGTGAAGGCAAAAGGTTCTACACCAATTAAAAACTGATATTTGGAAAAATGCAAATTGCTGCATTTGCTTTCGTATAAAGTCTAACAATAGTACTTTAATACTAATTTAGTACAGTACCTGATATTGTGACACTTAAAAGTACGAGTTCACCACAAACTTTAGTTTGCTCTAACCTGTAATCAGTGGGAGTAGAGCCAGTTAAATCAAATTAGAGAGCCCTTTGAATACGCTGTCTCTAGGGTTTGTGGAGATGGGGCATATGCTCAGATGCCAGAGATGTTACAGGGCACTCTTGAAGTGATTGATAATATGTTCAAATACTCTGTTGGCCAGATGTTCACTGAGTCTGTCTTATTTTTGGTCTAGCTATGCGAGAAGAGATGTGCTTCCTCTGGGAAAATTCACAGTCAACTTGAGCGGCTGTCCAAGAAATAGCATCTTCACAGAGCACATATACCGTATTATCCAGCAGCTTGTTCCAGCAGTAAGGATGGCATTGACATGCTTTAATTGATTTCTAATTATGCAGCGATTTGCTTCCCAGTATAATTTCCTTGAATGTTTGTGCATCCAGATCATTTGACTTTCCTATACTTACTGATTCACCACAAATTTCTGGAAAGCATTCTACCAAAAACAAGTAATGTGCTTGGGGACCATAGTGAGTAAGAAATTGCAGTACTTTACAACAAGCTGGATATGGGTGGCTTAAAACGCACACGCTAACCATAATTGTTTTCCTGGAATATTTTTTTCCTGTTTAACATCTGTGAAACTCATGATTGTATGTAGATAGTATTGTTTCTTTTCTTGGCAATTTTGCAGTAATCTCATATGTGATACAGATATCTACAAGGCTGGTGGAGAAGAGAATTTGCCTATTTAGCATCTAACTTCCATTTCTCTTGGCAGTCCTATCGTCTGCAGATGACCATAGAAAACATGAACCACTCACGATTTATCCCACACAAGGACTACACAGCTAATCGCTTAGTCAGTGGAGTATTGCAGCTGGCCAGCAATACTTCTCTTGTGATAGATGAGACTTTGCTTGAGCAAGGACAGCTTGACACAACAGGTGAGTTGTTCCTCGTCTCCATCACTCTGCTGTAAAACTTGTCCTGAGGTAAAGTGTTACGAATTCTTTCACCCTCTGGGTGAGTGACCAGTGTGAAATGAGTTGGTAATTCTTGGTATAGTGTTAGTTCACTAATGCTTGTACTGCAGAGCTCCCCTGAACACTTGGCTTTCTTGGTACTCAGCAGAAAAGACTGACTGAGCCTGCAGATGGAGCTCCCCTTTTCAGTTCCGCATGGAACAAATGAATGGAGTGGTGGCATGAGATCCCCAACAGAGTTATTTGTATTACAACTTTACTTGAGATAATTGAACAGGCTCTTGATGCACAATGAGTACAGCTGGACTTTGAAATAATCTTCTCTAACTTCCCTTTTGAGTAAGTTTGTTATATTGGGCAAGAGGTAGCTGGGATACAAGATGAGGGTAGCTTATACACTTTTCTCTTCCCCTCCAGGTTTAGGGAAAG